GGACCTGGAGGGGAAAGTGGTCAGCAGGGCTGGGGGGGTTCCCCGGTGTGGGGAGAGGAGACATTGTGGTGAAGACAGAGCTTGGGGTGGCCCCAGAGACCTCCCCAGGTAAGGGGGACCCAGTGACTTACGATGGTGACATCTCCCCACTGGGACTGCTGGAGGAGTGGGCAGGGACTCATCACTGCGATGGCCATGTTGTAGGCACCAAAGCCTGTCCCCAGCACGGTGAGGGTGCCCAGCAGGGCCAGGGACCTGCAAGGGACATGTGGGTGACACCAGGGAACACAGATGAGGGCCACAGTCTCACGGCATAGGCTCCATCCTCCTTCCCTGGGGTGTCTCTGCTGCCAGGACATGGGCACCCCACAGCCCCTCCCCACCCAGTGCCTCCTCCTGCCCCTATTGCAAAGCAGGGGCTGTTTTGGGACAGAAGCCCCCAGCACCCTGATACCCACCTGCCGGGCAGGAGCATGGCCACAACGCAGGACAGAGGGTTGGCCATGGAGCTGAGCGTGGTGGCGAGGTGGTAGGCGGTGTTGCCATAGGGCAGGCAGGAGTAGGACTGCACGGACGGCAGGACCCCGTTGGTCAGAGCGCTCACCCAGGCGACGAGGAAGTAGATGAAGGTCAGCCTGGCCAGGGAGTAGGAGACCTGCTCCGGCAGGATGTTCCTCAGCCCCTTGGCATCCTTTGGGCATGGGCAGCCTCTGCTCAGCCGGGAGCCTCCTCCCTCACTGGGGCTCTGGTCGATTGAGCTCAGCATGATATTGCTGGGAAAGAGCTGCTGCTGGGAGAGCTCCCACTTCTTGGGCTGCCTGTGGAGGAAGAAGAAGGCCAGCAAGCAGGCCAGCATCATTACAGTCATGAGAAGGAAGAAGATGAGAGTGGAGAAGTTGGCTGGGAGGTAGTGGGTCTCTATCTGGGAGATGGTGTTCTCCACGGTCTCATTGCCGATGGTGACATTGGCCAAGTGGGTGATGTTGGCACAGGTGGAGATGCCAGAGCCCTGGGCCAGGGCAATGAGAGCGGGAATCAGACCGCTGAGTCCTTCACCTATGAAGAAGGTGTTGAGGAACTGGGGCTGCAGCTGCATCATGAAGGGCAGGAAGGTGACAGAGGAAGTGCAGTCCACCAGGGCCAGGAAGAAGGTGAGGAGCAGGAAGGCGGTGCTGTGGGGTGCCCCGGCGATGGAGGATGTGTAGTTCCAGAGGAAGGCTAACAGTAAACAGGCCAGGACACCCACAGACACGACCACGTAGATTACAACCTCCTCCTTCAGCAAGCCGGGCCGAAAGCGGTGCATGAGGGTGATGAAGAGCGGCCCCACGTTGGCCATCTGGATGATGATGGTGATGTAGGATGGCAGATCCCACTGCTCCGGCAGCACTGTCACCAGCACGGTGATGGCCACCCAGGAGCCCATGCCGAAGGTGCAGGCGAGGAAATGGGTGAGCAGCGCCATGCTCAGGGATGGGTGCTCGGGGCCGACACTGCTGTGCTGTGGGGAGAAGTTTGCATCAGTGGTGAGGTGAGACCTGACCCCCGAGACCTCAACCAATGGCCCTGCCTGCGTTCCCCCTCTGCGGGCAGCAGGCAGAGCGGCTCCTCTCCAACACCCCATGGTGGTGCGGGACTCACAGAGCACCATGGTCACCCCACGGCCCATTCCCAGCCCTCTTTCCCCACTACAAGCCCCAGCGATCCCCCT